TTAAGTTTTTCTGTGAAAATTAAAAAGAGAAAGTCTAATATTGCCTGAACACCTTCTCCCTCAGTGGTACGAGATGAGTGAGCTGGCGTGTGATTCTACTAAGCAATGTGGCATTTCAGTACCAAACAAAGAGCAGCAAAGGGAGAAGTTGAGAACATACTTATTTATCATGCAGATTTCTGCAATGTAAAAGAAGGTAGACCATAAAACATCATTTCTACTGACTACCTAGAAATACGATTGACGACTAAGGTAGTTAAAGCAGGACACTATGGTGGTGAGTGCATCGACTTTAGTGACACAAGCCTTGATTCTCATTTCAGCTCTCCCATGGGGCAGCAGGCTTCTACACCTCTCACACTCTCCTCCGTTTCCTCATCTGTCACATGGCAATAGTACTCGTATCTCAGTTGTTAGGAGTATTATGCAGAACAAGGTATGTGAGATACTTCGCACAGTACCTGGTACACTGTCACCTCCGATAAATACATGTCGGCTTGTTGTGGCCATTTAGGTACTAACATTTCTTACTTACCCCTTTTATGGGAATTAATTGTTCCTCCATTTGATGTGGATAAAGGGGTCTTCCAATCCCAGAAGGCCCAGGGCCTGTTCCTCAAACCAAATCAATCCTACAGAAGGGGTCTCTATCCTTCCTGGTGTGAGGTTATGAGATAAAATCAGACAAAACTTAAGAAAACCAAACTGGTAGAGAGAGGCAGAGAGAGACATGAGGAAAAGGCTTCCAGGTGGCATTCCAGCCCTGCAGCAGCTGTATCCCTCCACTGAAGGTGGCTTGGCTATGGGACCAATTCATATCCCATGTGTGTGGGCGCATGAGCTTTGTTATTTGCCATGAATAGGGTTCTAACTGATAAAGCTGTTATGGGGGAAGAACCCTTGGGGAAAACACCTGTTAGTTTTACCAGCCTAATTACTTTTGTGAGGTAATGTGTCACCTGGCCTCATTTTATTAGATATAAGGAAATAATGTAATCTTAAGCCACATTGAGACTTGGCATAAAAGTAATTTCTATTAAACTACATGATAATTTTACATCTTCACTCATAATGATCATGAAGTTTTATTTGCACATATTTGTTAATACTGCCATAAAATAGTCAGAGTAACTGAAAATGTCATCTATCCCTGCTTTGCTATGTCATAAAATAAATGCAATGTCACATGAGAGAGAAATACTCCCAGTACTTGGCTCTCTAAAATAAGAAAAATTTAACGAAAGAAAACCACATAGCCTGAGTTAAAATATTCAACATTACTAACACAGATAGCCAGCAAAAGATCTAAGAAAAAAGCATAAATCCTTTATTTTTATCTCAAAAAGTGTTTATAAACTGTTAATATTAACACACTATTTAACGTTGTACATGCATATTCACATATATACAGTTACATGTGTATAAAACTAAATTTATTAATTAAGGCTCATTTTTTTACTGTGACTATTATTGAAATATCATTTCAATTATGCAAAGCAAATTTCACCAGACAGAAGCAGAAATGATGTTCAAAATAACCCTAATGAAAGTAACAATTGTTGTATCATAGGGAAATTAAGGAACAAAGTAATTGTAGTTGCTGGTGGTACTAGGGATAGAACCCAGAGCCTTGCACATGCACGGGCAGCACTCTGCCACGAAGGAGCTATACTTCCATTCCCAAGTGTTTTTTCTATTGCTCTTTAAATAATCAAAAGCAGAAGAATCTTTCCTTATATGTTTTTCATATATATGCACACACTGGGTGGCATTGCCAGCAATATATGCAGAAATTAATATATATGCACAAATTAATGATATATACCATTTAGCCACTAATCTCTTTGGTCCTTCGTAACTCTCAATGTCTAGTCTATTATACATGAGGCGTGATCTAAATATATGGTGAATGCTTTAAGCTTTAAAATATGTATTACAGTGAGAGACACACTGCCACTAATCCCCTTCAAAATATTCTCCCTTACTTCCAACACATCCATCCCAACATTCTTGTCACTTTCTGAAGCAATTCTGGAAGTGCTCTTTCATGAGGTCTTTTAAAGAGGTATAATCAAAACATCAGTGAATGCTACTGCCCACCAAGAGTAAAGAAGGCCCATAAGAACACTGCTATGTGTGCTCTCCACCTTATGCACCAGGTCAGGCACCACCTGGTTCTTTGCCAATGACCACGAAAGGCAAACATTTTGGATGGATTCACAACATCCAGGCAGCCATGACAGCACAATTAAAAACACTCAAAGATGAGGACTTCCAGAACGGCTTCAGGACGTGGCAGCGTGATGAGATAAATGCGCTCAAAGTGAGGATTAATGGCAATGTGTCTGCTACTGTCATTTTTAAAAAAAAATTTAAGCATTCACTGCGTTTTTGATCTCATCTCATATCTACATACATAGAACAGAAAAATTTAAGACACTTTTGGAGGTAGATTATTCCATAAAATCAAGAGGAGTTTTTAGCTAGTGACTGACACTATAAGCTCAAATCATAAAATATGGGCATGAGCTTGGAGGGACTGGGCTCGTGCATCCCCGCTCACCTGCCTGCTCCTGCATCTGTGTGTGGCAGGAGTGAGGGATGAAGACCGAAGCCTAAGCGCCCTGTGCACATGACCTTCCACCTGGATAGAACTGCAGGCACGAGCAGAGAAGGCACGCGACTCCGGCCCACCGCGGAGGTTAGGGCGGTAGGTGTGTCTGAGGCCACCTGCTGCTGTGAGGCTCAGTGTCTCACATACGAATTCAGACTGGGGGCTGATTACAGCAAGGGCGATCAGCAGCTCCAGGGGAGAAACCAAGGGCTATAAATGCAAAGTTAAGGGACTTGAGACCCTGAGAGCCAAGCAGGAGCAAGGAGGCCACGGCCAGACAGCTCATCGAGCAGCAGAAAGAGAGATTAAAGTGATGAGCCGAAAAGCCAGTCAAAAATCCAGGGCACAGGCTTCGCCCTCTGTCCTGCCTTCCACAGCTGGACAACCCTGGGCAGCACTGCAGTATTTTCTTGTCTATGTGTCGGTGTTTTTTTAAATCATAACTTATCAACTGTCTACCTGAGATAGTTCAGAGAATGAATGTGAAAGTGGTTTAAAAAGTAGAAAGAACAATAACATCGTGAGAGATTCGTTGTTGCACTGCACTAGCTTTTTTTAAGCAGACTGAGTAATTATAATCAAATAAAAACAATTCAACTGCACTACAAGGGAAAATTACTTATTGACATGATGCTAACTGAAAGAAACTATTTCCATATCGCTAAACAAGATAAAGGGACTACTGACAAACTTGTCAACTTTGTGAAATTTCTGTAATTATTCAGGTAATTTTAGTTGAGTTAAAAATCACATTTACTTAATAATCACTTACAAGCAGAATGAATTAGTCTAATAGCTCAGGTTTTCCAGACAGGTACATGTCACCCACTCAGTCCTATTTTCTTAAGGTTATGATTTAGGAAAGAAATTTATTAAAATGGCATATAAATCTCTATACTTTCTTTCAAGCGATTTATAATCTGCCTTCCAAAAAATAAACAAACCGTAATTCTGAGTTTCAGTTTTCCTTGTATTGTAAAAAGCCCCGAAGGCTACACCGACTTGTTCCCGTGTCTCCTGGGTAATAGCCTTTCTCTTCCTTTCTACAGACTGTCAGTCATTAATCCCGTCTACCTCCTCCTTCCCGCTTTTGCTAACTACTCCTGATTCACTGGGCATTAGCTCCAGCGAGTTCCAACGGTGTCTGAAGTGCGGCTGCATACAGCGTGGAGAGTACCTGAGCGGGCGGCTGGCCTGTGGGCCCGGAGGAGGGGCTGCGCTGCGTTCTCCATGTCATGTCCACCTTGGCTGCTCTGATCATTTCTCACCCTCAGATCCTCAATAATAGGAATGGTCCCCAGGGAACTAGAAAGAGCTAAGCTTCTGATACAGATATTGGTAACACACATGCATACACACACACACGGAGAAGAGAGACACAGGGACAGAAAGACACAGAGACAGAGACAGAAAGAAATAGAAACAACACGTGTCAGGGAATCACAGAAAACAGTTCAGAAAGGGAACATGCCCACAAATATACAAAGCCTGAACTGAGTTGGGAAGGGAGAGATAAAAGCATGAAGAACCTACAGGTAGAAAAGCCAGGATGGGCAACAGGATAAAGGCAAGGCAGAGAATTACGAAAGAACACCAGGAGATGTTTGGTGGAGATATCCAACTTGGAGCCCAGAGAGGCATGGCACGGGCCAGACAGAAAAGCTGAGGCCATGTCTCTGGGCAGCATCTATGCCACAGAAAGGAGCCTGGATCCTGCTCCAGGGGCTACTGGCGGCTTTTAAACCCATGCTATGCTTAGGCTGTATCTTTCCAGTGGCTACATTCATGGAGAGAGGCCAATTATGAAAGTAATGAAAGATGCCCAGCAAATGATGGAAAGGGCCTAATGGAGAGTGCTAATATTAGCATTGGTTTTTAAATATTAAAGAAATGTACAACTCTAAAAACATGCACACAGAAAAAATGGGAAAAGGGAGCTAGGCATTACAGGCATTGAAGAGAAAAATGATACAGCAAAGTATTCTCTGGAATTAAAAGTAAACAGATGGATCCATCTTGGTACCCTAGGGCATGGTACACATAACATATTCAAAGAGTGCTTATGAAATAGAACTGAAAAAAACCATAATAAGATTTCTTCCTGCACTAATGTCTCCAACTTTGAGTACTTCAGTGTCACACAGGATAACTAATGTTCAAATGTTCTCTATTTCTGAAAGCAGCTGCACCTAAGTCATGGTAAACAACAAAAGTGTAAAAGCCATTACGGGTAATTTTCTTCCATTTACTTTTAACAGCAGGTAAAATCTGCCAGCATTACAGAAATAATATCAAGAAAGGAGAGTATGAAAATTGCTAATCGTTAAACAAAACAAAAGAATACATAAAGTTAAACTGACATAACTTTTCTTCTCTTATCTCCCAGATGTGGTATCGAAAGCTGATGCTTAGAAATATCCTGAATGTCATAGCAAACTAAGACCTCAAAAGGTGATTATCTTTTTAGCCTTTCAATTACTGACCACTAAGGAGAGTCTACAGCAAAGGGAAGCCTTGGTGACATGACGACCTTTTGTTCTACCGACTTTCTCTGTAAAGTCCTGGGGAAGCAAGGAGACAAGAAAAACAGATGGAAAAAGACTTTAAATTGAGTAAGGTAATGTAAGGGAACTTCTCATTTTTCATCCAAGTTTTAAAAAACAAAACTGTACTAGCATCTTCTTTCTTGCATTATGAAGCAGAAATGTTCGGCCTAACTTTCTTGGTCCTCTGCCATCTGGATGACACCACACCACACACACACACACACACACACACACACACACACACACACACACACACACACACTCCTTCCCCATTTCCTATCCAGGCAAAGGCCTTGCGCCACCAGGCTGGGCTGCTCATCCACAGAGCTGCCCACCGCCCTGGCTGAGCTCTCTGCGGAGGACTCTCTGGGGAAGAAGGATGGCCATGCCAGGACAGGGCCCTTCCACACCCCTGTGACTGTCTCTACTCTGACCCTCAAAGTCCTTCTCTCCTGGGATGCACGGCCGAGCCCCTGACCATGCAGGTTTCACTGTTTGCTTTCTTGCCCATTTCTGCTAGTTTTGAGCTCCAACTAAACTGAATCCATCACAAATGTGTCTTACACGTCTTCATCCATTCCTGACAATGCTCAGATGACACATCTGTTCAATAAATAAGCCCCACTGCGTGTCACAAAGTACTCTAGATATTACAAACTACAACAGAGAGAAAGCAAATCTTGGTCTTCACAGAGCTTATATTCCCCAGGCCGGGATGCGAGGGCAAGAAACAACAGTATGATGAACAGGTGAAATCGGGGATACCGAGGAAAGATGGCAATGCTGGCGAACACCTAATCAAAGACATGGCATTTAGATGGAGACCTGGGGGAGGAGGCGCCGCAAATGAAGCATCTGGGAGGTGCAGCCATCCAGGCAGAGGTGCGAGAGGGCAAAGGTTCACAGATGTGAGGACAGCTGGGCCGTTCAAGGAACAGCAAGATGGCCATTGTGGCAGGAGGAAAAATGACAGGGATGACAACAGGAGACCAGGTCAGAGACGTGACATGGAGCCAGCCGTCAGCCTTTAGCCTGTCAGCCGTCCTGAGGAGGCAGACATCTCTGAATCGGAAGAGGGGCTCAGGCTTGTAGCACAGTAGGGGAGAACTGTGACTTGGATTTTGAAACGCTCCTTCTGGTTGCTGCATGGGAACTTTCTTACAAGGGGCCAGGGCAGAGCAGAAGATGAGCAGAAGGAAACTGTAGTCATCCAAGTGCCAACTGATGGTGGCTTAGACCAGGAGCTAGTGTGCAAGTGACCGGAAAGGATCAGGTTCTGATGTATTGTGAATGACACAAGGGCAGGATTTGCTGATGCAATGGATGTGAGTAATAAAAGAGCAAAGAAGCCAGTGGGGGCCCAAAGCCTTCCGGTCTGAGCAGTGGAGAAGCTAGAGCAAGGTGCAAGGACTGCCGGGAAATTAGATGCAGTTGGCAAGAAGGGTGGGAGTTTGTCTCTTATTCCAGAATAACTGGGGTTTGGTTTTGTTTCATCTTAAAAATCAATCCATTAGCCCCCCTAGTGCTTAGTACATCACTTCCTCCCGTGCACAGCTATGCTTCACAGGCTCAAGGGTATGAGGCAAAGTATGCACTGTTGAGTTTATCCCTTCCAAAGAACACACTGTAATTTGGGTTCATCTTCTTGGTTTTTAAATTTCATGGTAGCGCTGTTGAGGAATCATGATCATTTAGCTCAAAAATATTCCTTTGGTAGATTGTATGTAAAGGCAGAATAGTAAATGAAACAACTTTTTTGCCACTCACTTATACAAATAACCATGTTTTCTTCATCAAACATTTATTATGTGCCAGATATTTACAAGACATTATATAGGACACCACATTGTTAAAACAGATTCCTCAACTCAGCGCAAATCAGAGATTTTTAACATCTTTAAACAAATCAACAGAAATGAAAGTAGCTTGTGTTGGGAATTTAGTAGATAATGTCTGTTGAGTGGACCTCAAGTTTCTTATCTATAAAGTGAGCATATCTGGCTGCTTCATCTCTAAGGATCTTACCCATTCTAATGTTCCATGTTAAAGATATAAGTAGTCTTTAAAATGTTTCCTGAGAGAAAGAAAGAAAGAAAGAAAGAAAGAAAGAAAGAAAGAAAGAAAGAAAGAAAGAAAAAGAAAAGAAAGAAAGAAAGGAAGGGAGGGGACAGGAGGGAAGGAAGGAAGGAAGGAAGGAAGGAAGGGAGGAAAGAAAGAAAGAAAGAAGGAAGGGGATGATAGCTTTGAGAAGACAGATCCAAAATCATCCAAGGAGGAGGCAGTATATACTGACTACAGAATTACGAAAATGGAAGGAAAAAACAAGTTTGAAAGCCTAGGAGGGCTATGATTACAAAGATGTTTAAATATTACGCTAGTGCCAAGAATTATTTTTCAGTATGTGCTGGAAAGTCGATGAGAACATGTAATTAGGAGAGGAACATGATTGTGATTTTATGGCAAGATTCACTCATCATCAGAACAGGCTAAAGCAGAGAGAATAGATGAGCACATGTGGTTACATACAGGGGACAGAAACCTGTAATGTGAAAAATGCTACAAAAACCAGCAAGAGATTCTGACTAAAACTATTCCAAAACTCTGGACAAAAGACTGAGAAGTCTGGAAATAATAGTACAGTGTGGTGTACATCTGGGTGTATGTTGTGTGCTTATGCATGTATACAGACCTATACAATACACATGTAACAGAGGACAATTATCCCTTATTTGCAGGGTATTGGTTCTAGGGCCCCCCGCAAATCCCCCAAAATGGTAGATGCTCAAGTCCCTTATATAAATAGCTTTGTATTTGCGTAGAACCTACATATAGCCTCATATATACTTTAAATCATCTCCAAGTCACTTGTAACACATAATGCAATGTAAATCTCATATAAATAGTTGTTACACTGTATTGTACCAGGAATAACAGTAAGAAAAAAGTTTGAACACGTTCTGTACAGATGAACATGTTTTGCTTTTCCAAATCATCTCAGTCCATAGTCACTGGAATCCAGACACAGAGAACCCAGAGAAATGAAGGGCCAGCCGGACTGGGAAGGGATAATTCTTCCAAGACGTAAATAACCGTTCTTAGTGAAGTGCAGACCACAAGGCTTGATGACAATGGGAGACCTGACAGTGACTTAAACTCCCAGCAGGATGCCAGGAGACACAGTGAAACCATTAGCAGGAAATAAAAAGTGATGTGAGGAAAGCCCTACTTGTACTGTGTGTGTGTGTGTGTGTGTGCATGCGTGCTGTACACTCCCAGTGTCTGGGCAGTGCTAGCACAGCTGTGCGAGCTTCTCCCAGCTCTGCTGCCCTTACAAGTAGCAGGTCCTTATGATTTAACCGCTGGACACAGAACAGGGCACCCTCAGCATGGCTTTTGCTATGTGATGGGAAGGCTGGAAAAGTGTTTAGAATTACATGCTTACTTCCTCAAATACATCAGGATGCTTTTACATCTACAGTTAAAAAAAAAAATCACAATAGAGATATATATTGGTTCCAAAACGTATTACAAATTGTCTCTTGAATCTACAATATGACAGACTGGTATCTGCTACAGCAATGGATCCTGATTCAATTTTAAGCAAAGACACCTAAGTACTACAGGCTATTTTTAAGTTTAATGCTTTTATCTACTTGTACAAAGAGTGTTTTACTGTCTTCATAAACAGAAGTTTTAAAAAACCTTACTCTATAAATATTGAAATATTTCTGTATTTACTCTTCCATATTAATAAAGTTGTTTTACTTGTACCTGTTTATCAACTAACTTGTCTTAATGCAGGTATGTACACATTTTATATAATGGAGAAATATATTTTTATTTCTTTAAAAAGTTATTCTTATAGTTACAGTATACTTTTTACATAAATTCATTTTTTTCTGCAGTTTATTTCCTTTTTAAAGAATGACACTGAAGTATACCACAATTTTAGTTCCCGATTTTAAGGATCGAGATATTTGTTGAATAATGACATCCCTGATGAAATACTTAGAAGAAAAGTCTTAAGTATTAGATTTTGAATGGTGTAAGGAAATTTCCTAGGTGGGGTTTTGGTCTCCTAACATGTGTTTTTTATGATGTATTAAAGAAACCAGCCTCACCTGTTTTTGATTGTAGATTTCTTCGTGGTTCTTCGGGGGCCTCAATTGGCTGATCAGCCAGGAAAACTCGAGCTTGGTCTACAGCATTCAGGACAGAATATTCTTTCTCCTTTAACTCTCGTCTCAGTGCCTTGGCAAAAAGAAGCAAAAGTTGAATTTAACCTCATGTGTTCAGTAAATAAAGGAATATCTTCAGTTAGTCCTCCTCTGCCCATTCCTGTCAAAGAATGATTAATAACCAGCACTTAGGCTAAGTTGTAAGTGAGAATGTAGATTATTTAGATAAAAATGATGGAAAATATGAATAAAAGAAAAAAGGTAGTTCCTATAGAAATTAAACATTAAAGAAAGAAGAAAAGAGGAAATGAAGGAAGGAAACTTTAAAATATGCACTACATGAACCTAAAGAAATTGCTACAGTGCATTTGAATTTAAATATAATGTACTTTTAGAGTTCCCACGACTGTCAAATTGCTGAAATACACTAGTCTGTTCTAAGATACTTTTTTCTTGTAAGACTGACAAAAAAATTGCATCCAATGGTTCTGAAGAAGGTAATTTCACAAGTAGAAATGAGATCCTCAGAAGTGTTTTACACTCTTTGGAATACATTGAGAAAAACATTAAGAGAAATTAAAGTACATGAAATCAAAACTAAACCAAAGAGAACACACAAAAGTAAGTCTCCAATTATCTTAAAATATGTTCCACCTCTCCTGCTGTGGCAATTACTATTTTTTTCCTTGTGAGTTTTTTCATACAAATTGATGATTCTCAGAACAGCTTGTCTTTAGTACATTTATTCATTTAAGTAGGGCTATACTCTCACATCTTCTTCTATAAAACGTTTGATGATTAAGACACTGACTAGGGTTTGAAAGTAAAACATTTTCAGGAACCACTGCAAGATATGAGTAAATAAAGATTTTTCATGCCTTATTTTAACATCGTAGCTAAATCAAAATTGGTTTTAATATTGTTATTTTCTCAATATTATATATATCCATACCTCTGGTTCTTATATTTTGTTTTTAGTGTATTTCCTTGGAAATTCACTATACAAAGTGTTCGATCTGTAATTTTCTAAAATACTGCACTCAGATCTTTGAGACTCAGTGAAATCTTTCCTTCTGAGCATGACTAATTTTTAATAGCATTTGACCTATGTTAGGAGACAGGCTATTTGCAGGCTAAATGCTCATCTTCCACAATCAATAAAATAAAAGAATCTAGAAATATCAGAATAATCAGAAAAACACTAGTGTGAAGTTGAAAGAGACCCAGAAGGGTGAGATGCACTAGCAAGGAATAGTGAGGGGAATGACAGGCTGCTATTTTACGTGATGAATATTGTAAATACTGCAGTATTTGACTTTTAAACTATGGGCAATTAACACCTTGATAAAAAATTCAAGAGAATAAAAGTGCACAAAGTCATCCACACCCCAAGTGATAAATATAGGATATTGTGTAGAATGAAATACATTTTCTCTAAAGTACCCAGACATGGTGATTATGCCCTTTCTAGCATCTCTAAAACCAAAGGATAACTTAGAAGCTACAACAAGTCAACAAAATCTCTAGATCAATGAATTATATCAATGAGCACTCTATGCCTGTGTTGGGAGAGAAAAAGGATTACACTTCTGCTAGCTCCTATTTAAGAGAAACACAGCTTGTGAAGTTCTAGGTGTGATATTCCAGGAAACAAAAAAGATTATCTTCTGAAATTTAAAGTTTCAGATATATGGGGCTGGGTATACATGACACCTTGGATTTGATCCTTAGCAATGCAAACACAATTAAAAATAAAATTTTTGATATATGGAAATTGAAGAGATATCAGACAACTGGAAAAGTGACATTTTAAACCCAGAGATATACATACACATTTACAAGTCTTGGGACAATTATTTTAAATAAGATCATTGTATTGTTAGAGGAAGCAGCACTACAGCAATCAAAATACTTCTACTATTCACTTCCAAAGCCACCTAGAAATATAAAATAATAATATTGAAAAAAATCAGGTTACCTAAAAAAAAGTAGCTGTGAAAAACAATGGGTATTACAGCAAAGTTATTATTTTCTTATTTTAATGGTCAAGGGTAAGCCCAAATCTAACCAGTTAGTATAGAGCAATAAAGATTCGTAAAATAATATGCAGGGTTGTGCTAGAGTTCTTTTCTGGAAGGGAAGTACCAGGAACTCACACACGTAAATGCCAGCTGCTGAAGAGAAGGCAATAGCATTACAACCACCCCTCTTCACTCTGGCTTATCCAATGGGGAAGAATCCACAAACAGCTCTTAGAGACTTAGCACAAAAGGGAAACTAGAAAACACAGGTAATGAGGTGGAAGGACACCGAACATTGGGAGGCGATGAAATATAAAGCAATGTAAATTGCAGAAGGAAGAACAGATAGGGTGATGGTCCTCTAGAAGCAGGAAATGCTCAGGGAGCGCATATTTCTCAGGGCGAGTCCAGGAGATGCTGTGGTTGTGGTACAGTATTCCCGACTGGAAGTTCCAGATTATGAAGAGTCCAAAAGGTGTAGATTGGAGGGAAATGTGGGAGGGAAGGTAAGAAAAGAGATTTGTCCTGGGGTTGTTTTTAGAATTTCAAAAATCCAAGCGGGAACACATTTGTCTACAGGAAGGACATTTGGAAAACTAAACTGTCAATTCCTTTTATGCTGGAATTCTATCAGTATAATATGGATGTTCTCACAGGGCAGCAACTGCCTCCTCTCCCCAGATATTTACCCCCACAGCTTCCTTTTGCCCCATGAAGGCCTTCTGAGTGAACACCACCCTCTCGCCCTGGTCAAGGTAGCATTTGCCCATCCTCGCTCTGACATTCTCCGTTCTACTATTCTGTTTAACTACCTCTGTATTTCCCAGACCTATCACCTGCACTCGGCAAGGTAGGTTCCAGGTGTTGTCTTGACTGTTTATTCTCGGTCTTTCTCAGATCCAAGCTCCTGGGACTTTCTGGTCTTTTCATTGCAGTAAACAAAGCATCCAGCTCAGTGCTATGTCTGGGACCAGCAAAACCTTGGGGGGCTCTGAAATGCTTTCTGGTGGAGGTGGGGCCTAAGCTGAGTCTTGCAGAGATAAGAGGGTCCTCCCACCAGGGGAAGCAAGACAACACTCGCAGGGAGGGAGGGCAAACCCCAGCGTGCACACTGGGGGATTTCGCACCTGTAAGCACCAGCAGCTGAGGCTCATAACGCAGGCAGAGGAACAGGTCAGAAAGGCCATGGTTTGGCCTCTGTATCTGACACTTGGCCCATAAAGCATGATGGGAAGCCACAGAAGAGCTGGGCCATCAGGTTGGGGGTGACCTTTGGTACTACAGTTTTGTTTTTATACTACCATTGCCAGGTCCTCTGGATTCATTAGAAGTAAGTATGACTCTGAGAAAGCCCCACAGGACTATTTTCCTTCCTGACCACATTAAACTCCAGCACTTCATAAAACAATCCTCTCTGAACAGTCACTTAGTGGGGAGTGTCTCCCGCACTCCCAGCATGCCCATGCAAGGAGGCACAGGGTCAAGCAAGGCATGTCCAGACCACACCGAGTCAATAAGAAGAGCAGGGCTCTGGCCCTAAGGTCCACTCACCACCCAATATCCTAGAAGACAGCACACGTCTAATCACATCTGCTCATACTCAGCCTAGAAAATTTAATTTTGTTGTTCAATTTGTCCTATTTCAATTATATTTAATTGCATGTCAAAAATGGATTTATCTTCCAGCAGCACTACACACATAATCATTTTGCCGCCCTTTGCCTCTCAATTAGACATAAAAGAAAGACTGCATTTTCCAACCACCTGGTGAACATTAATGATAAGATAATTAGACTCCAGTGAGTTGTTTTGTATACAAAGCTACAAAGTGGCATTCAGTTTAAAACTTTAATATCACATGACCTGCATATAGGCTACCTTTAATGAGTATAACATCACCTAATTGGAATTTTTCCATTTTAATTACTTTATATTTTCATCAAAAACAGTTCTACTTCAAAACAATGACAAGCAGGGAGAAGCATGTGGAAAAGCTGGGACCCTCATGCATTGTTGCTAGGAATATTAAATGGGGTGGCCAGTGCAAAAGTACTTTAGTGGTTACTCAAAATGTTAAACAGAGAGTTTCCCTATGACCTAGCAAATCCTTCTGTAGGTACATCCAGAAGATAACTGAAAATATCTCTCCACACAAAAACATGCACGTGGACATAGTAACATTATACATAATAGCCAAAATGTGGGCAAAACCCAAATGTCTATCAACTGGTAAAAGGATAGATAAACAAAATGTGGTCTATGTACAAAATGGAATCTCATTCGGCAATGAAAGTGAATGGAATATGGTTACGTGCTACAACATAGATGAATCATAAGAGCATGCTCAGTGAAAGAAGCCACACACAAAAGCCAACGGTATGGGAATCCATTCGTATGGAATGCCCAAAACAGGCGTATCTACTGAGGGAAAAGGAGGACAGTGGTTGCGTAGGGTTGGGGGTGTGGGAAAAAGAAAAGGGACTGCTCATGGACATGTGCACTCGTGTAGGGGCAATGGAAATGCTCAGACTCAATGGAAATGCTCCAACTCAATAATAATGCTCAGACTCAACAAGTCCATACGCACACTGAAAGCCACTGACATGAATTCTATAAGTGGATAATATCTCAATGAAGTTATTCCTTTTTTTTTTCTTTTTGGCAGTACTAAGGATTGAACCCGGCCTTTCATACTAAACTACATCCCAAGCCCTTTTTATAAAGTGAGACAGGGTCTCACTAAGTCACTACTTTGCCCAGACTGAATGCAAACTTGCACTCTCCCTGTCTCAGCCTCTCAAAGTGTTGGGATTATAGGTGTCTGCAAATCTGTCCAGCTTTTTAAAGCTGTTTCTTAAAGTAAAAAATAATGCTGTTTTTCTCTTCCAGGGGAGTAAAAACAACCCTCAAAATCCTCCAGGAAATCTTCTGCTTTTCAAATTTTTATCCCCACACATTTACAAAGCAATAGGCATCCCCCATGTGGAAGATGTTCAGTAATGAGATGTCTGTTCCCACCCAGCTTCTAAGATAGCCTGTCCTGATATACCTG